TAACAAACATTTGGTACAGGCTACAACAATGGTATTTATGCACTTCAGTACTTTGTCGTCCTGTTGTGGTTCTATAGCAAGGTAAATTATACTGGGTTTATAGCGTGTTCTATGATTGGCAGGTTCGTGAATATGAGCTAACAAAGGAAAACTTCTCGCGCACTGGGAACTTTGGCTTTGGAATCCAAGAGCACATTGATCTTGGAATCAAATACGACCCCAGCATTGGGATTTATGGCATGGATTTCTATGTGGTGTTGGGACGTCCTGGTTTCAACGTTGCCGAACGAAAAAGGAAACGAAGCCGTGTCGGCTTTAAGCATCTGATCACGAAGGAAGAATCCATGAAGTGGTTCCAACAGAAGGTAAGGACTGGTTCTGATAAACATACGATCAAACCTATCACAAACAGGATAAGAAACAGCTTGCTTGTTTGATATTGGCAATTAAATTTGCAGGAGATTCCATGACAATGGCCTTGATTGCATGCTTGAGGCAGAGACAATATTGCATGCAATTTTCACCGCAATGTGCTGCAATGAGCACACGAAATTGCCCACTCATATATCCCTGGTTTTATGAAAGTCTGTGCACAACAGTGGGGCATTTTCCTTCAATGTTGTGTTATGTTTCCTAAATTTGATCATTTAGTGGGCTTTAGATGAAGCTCACAGATGTCAAAAGCATCAAATACATCTACAGTAACCTTTACAAGGGTAGCCAGTGGCAAATCCTTTTGCCTTGAAATTTAGTGATATTGTTAAATTTACTGAGACCCTTTCTCCCAAATAACAGTGTTAACAGGATCAATAGGCAGTTGGGTGGGTGAAAATCAACAGTGCACTGGAGTTTGAGGGGGTGGGGGTGCAGTGGGAGATGACAGCTGCCTCCGATGTCCCAAGACTTTGGTGAATTATAATTATTATTGTTAACTTTTGGACAGAACAGGTTTCTGAATTCTTTTGTTTATTCTTGTTTTTAGTATGATGGCATTTTGCTGTCTTCCAAGAAGAAGAAGTGATGGTGCTTTTTCCTTTTTTTTTTGTAAATTCTTTGCCTTGAAATATGCCCAATTAAATGCTGGATCAATACCACCAACATGGTGTTATTTCTGTTTTGACTTCGTTATTCTGGGCGCAGTTACTCATAAAATATATAGAATATTCCTAAGAGCAAGACTATTTACAATAACATTACTACTTTCAATTACTATATTCGCTA